TATCTAGTAGTAGGTTATGGTTTACCTTATCAAATGCCTTACTGAAGTCCAAGTAAACTATATTGACTGCATTCCTCTGGTCTGCTAATTTTGTCACTTTGTCAAAGAATGCAATAAGTTTAGTCTGGCATGATCTGTTTTTGATAAACCCATGTTGGCTTTTGGCTATTACTTTGTTTACTTCTAGGTGTTCGCTATTGATGGGCATTCTAGAGCAGCTTTTCCCAACTGGCTCTTCTTACTTATAAGAACTAAAATTCCCTGTATTCCTGACAGCCATACTTTAGACTCAAGAGTTGAAGTTACAACACATCTCAAGACTAAATTTGAAAAGGCTTACTCCTATCATCTCTTTGTGTATCTCAGTTCTCATTGAATGAATCTGTTTCTGCATAAGAAGGTTAGTAAGGGTCATGAAGAAAAACTATTTTATGATGTATTAACTACTGATTATCTATGTATGGAAACATTCTGATCATATAACTAATGAAATTGATTACATCTAATGAAGCTGCACCAACTGCATCCAAGCTATTAAATGCACATTCTGCTGACCTAGAGTTAATTATATTTACCTATTTATTTACTACAAAGTATAGGTGCTTAATCCAGCAAGGCTCAAAGCTTCTTGCTGAAAATATAGTATTAAAATATGAACAATAACATAACAATTGCAGCCTGAAAAATAGCTAGAACATCCAAACCCATTGCAGAAGGCCTTGATTATCATAGGGCAGATCCTGAATATGCCAGGATTGAATAGCTTTTGAGGAGACTAATAGAGTAAAATCCAATCTGATCCATATTACATTTTACAAAATGTTCCTTTATATTTGCTAACTGTTTTTATATTATAAATAGGAATCCAATAGAATAGAATATTTGTAGTTCAACGTTAAATTGTGGGGTCCTTGGTGAACTCTTCATTTACTTGTTTTCATGCAGAGGTTTCATTACCAAACTAGGTAACATCATCAGTGCTAGCAGGGAATGGGTTTGTTCTCATTTTATATTCTAATGGTTTGCTCTGTCAGTGTTGGTGGGAGTGGTCTTGGTGATTCCTTGACTGGGTTGTTGTTTACGGTTTGTCAGTTCCTTGATTGAAGTATTTTTGTTTCTTGATTATTGATTTAATTTTAATCTTGATGTTAATCTCTGCTCCTCTGAATGTTGATTGCTGATGAGGAGCTGTTTCGGGTTTTTTTGTTTATTCTCTGGCTCTTTTGATTGTCTCTTTTGAATGGTACTTAGATGTTTTTTATGTCTATGTGCCTGTTAATGGCCAATTTGTCAAGAGTACCAGGTTTCCAGGAATACTCTAGTGTTTTTGGATTTGGCTTGATCTAAGATGCTCACAATTTCCCAGTTGAAACTATGATTTGATTTGATTTGATTTTTGATTTTACTTTATTTGTATGCCGCCCTTTTCCCTGAGGGGACTCAGGGCGGCTCACAATTCAGGGGGAGGGAANGCCGGTGAGATTTGAACAGCCGAACTGCAGAACTGCAGTCAGCTGAAGTAGCCTGCAGTGCTGCATTTAACCACTGCGCCACCTCGGCTCTTTTTTTAAAATCTAAACATTTTAATCAACACACATTCTAAAATACACTCCAAGAATTACTCCATGGAGTGCTGGAGCAGATGGTCTTTTTTGAATGGAAGTGTTATTCACTAATAAATAAAATCCTTACACATATATCCAAGTTATATGCTCAGCAGAATTCAGCAATTTAACTTCACATAAGACATATGGCACACAGTTTGCAAGCATATTATAAAACGAACAAAATTCTAAGATCACTTATCTCACAACTACTAATTAAGTCTGCAATGGCACATTTTTGATCAAGGGTGGGCAACATTAGGTAGCTGGCGGTTATGGTTATAAGACTAGAAGAGAAAGAGAGATAGGACTTGAGGGAGGAATGCATTATATGAATAAAAAACTCTACGAGTCCAACTGTGAGTTAAATATTTAAAAATGACTATCCAAATAGCACTTACCCTTCTACAATTGTTCTATTGGCTAGTCGTATGCAGTGTTCCCAAAGAATATTTGAAACTGGCAGTGGAATACGAACTCTCTTTGACACTTCATTCATCCTCTTGTTAAACTGTTCAAATTCCTAAATTATATAAAATTTATATAATGTATAAATGTATTAAAATATGGTGAAATATACAGTAAATACCAATAAATATACATCTAAGCAGAAAACATGCAAACATACAAAATAAAAATCACAGAAACTGTCAGACAATACAATAGCAGAGTTGGAAGGGACCTTGGAGGTCTTCTAGTCCAACTCCCTGCCTAGGCAGGAAATCCTATACCGTTCCAGACAAATGGCTATCCAACATCTTCTTAAAGACTTCCAGTGTTGGGGTATTCACAATTTCTGGAGGAAAGTTGTTCCACTGATTAATTGTTCAAACTGTCAGGAAATTTCTCTTCAGTTCTAAGTTGCTTCTCTCCTTGATTAGTTTCCACCCATTGCTTCTTGTTCTACCCTCAGGTGCCTTGAACAATAGCTTATTTTCCTCTTCTTTGTGGCAACCCCTGAGATATTGGAAGACTGCTATCATGTCTCCGTCATTCTTTTCATTAAACTAGACATACCCAATTCCTACAACAATTCCTTCATATGTTTTAGTCTCCAGTCCCTAATCACCTTTGTTGCTCTTCTCTGCGCTCTTTCTAGAGCCTCCACATCTTTTCTACATCGTGGTGACCAAAACTGAATGCAGTATTCCAAGTGTGGCCTTACCAAGGCATTATAAAGTGGTNAGTACTATTCACATGATATATAAAGTACAATAATGATTTTAATGTATAAGAATGGGATGATTTGAATACCTTGGTATAATTCTATGTAGTGACCATTTATATCAGAAAGATGTTTGTATATTAAACGGATGAATGATAATGTAAGGAACAATTGATATATACATGAATTGAAATACTTAACCACTATATGGATTAATAATTAATAATGGGATGATTGGTGACATTTCAATTGACATTGGTCGATTGAAAATATGAATGTATATTATAAATTAATAGGAATCCTTTGTTCTTAGAGATAGGTGACACTATAATACTTTAAAGACTCATTGTTATTTGATAATCATGAATTTAAGGAAATAAGGACTGTTACAAATGAAAGAATATTAATGTAATTTGAATACATAATGCCCAATGACAGCGAAATACTCAGTTATGTTTAATGTAAACCAGTAATGTTAACCCTGAGCTTAAGAATTGGTGCACAAAAACCTGTAACCAAACGACATGCTTGATGAAATGGAGGAAAGTTGTTTTCTATTCTGCTCTTGCTTTGTTTTGTATGTGTTGTTTTGTTTAAAAAAGAATAAAAATATATTTTAAAAGAAGAATACATCTGTTTCACTCCTTTTGTTGCTGTACTATGTCCTACCTTCATTGGTATCAATGCTCATTTAAGAGTAAACTTGCAAAAGCAGTGGGTGAATGTGTGTGAGCAGCTCCATTTGTGTGAGTGGTCGCTCACGCAAATAAAGTTGTGTGAACTTGTCCGCCACTCACTCGTAACCATTTCTTCTCCCTCCCCCCTCCCACCAGTTCATAAAGCTGAAAAGGATGGGCATCACTGCTCTAGCTACATGAGGTATACTATATGTTGGGGGGAGGGGGAAATCTCCCATTTGAGGCTGTTTCAGGTTTTATGACTTTCTAAAACTGATTGAAAGCTAATTCAGGAAGTGGGGCCTTTCTAGAACCACAGTTGAAAAAACAGGAATTGTGTCACATAAAAATGATGGAAATGAATTCTTAAACTGTTACTGGAAAGGGGCAACATATACAATATGGAAGTATATTGTAGCATATTGTTACTGGAATGTGGTAGCTACAAGAAGGCTGTTAATCTCGGAATGACTGAACTTCAAAATTTGGATGGATTTTTGTGTCTTACTGCTGCAAATAACTATTGTCAGGCTAATGAATACAGTCCCTCTTCAGATTTTTTAATATATATTTTTCTTTGAAGTATTCTCTGAATGAAGGATGGGAGTTGAACTTTGTCTTTGGAGTTCTCAGTTGGCTAGTCTTTTCCTCTTGAGCCTTATGCAGTCCCAATGTAACCTTCATTTTGATGTAGTTTGTAGAACGTTGTCATTGTATGCATGAGGCGTGCTTGTCCACAAGTATGAATTAAGTTTTGATAGGGACTGAATAGTTTTCTTAGCATTCTTAACAACTTTTGAATGAGCATGAATCAGTTGATGAATGGCCAGAGGAAGCCTCACTTTACAAACTGGTTTATCTCTGCCAGTTTTGTATTAAAAAAATGCACAGGGGGGAGCGCAGGCCCCCGCAGCCCGTTTTTGGTCCCAGGAGGCTGAAAGGAGATCTGCTAGGCCCAAAATGGGCCACGCGGGTTGTCTGTGTGTCATGAACGCATAGGCAGGGAGTAGGGGCATGGGGGATGTCACGCACACATTACATTATGGGTGTGGGCATGTGCTATCGCATGCACGCACTTGCTTTCGGCACATGATGACAAAAAAGTTAGCCATCACTGCCTTAGATAGACCACAAACATCTGGAAAACTATTAGTTGACAGCATAAAGTTACAGAAAACTAAAATTCAGATTCCAAGAAATAATGATTGGATTTTTGTAGTCTAGTCATTGTACACCTAACAATTCACCAAGAGGGAGCGGCATAAAAGTCCTGGGAGCCTTAGGATCTATTCCAACCCCTGTTGACTTCAGGGCAACACAATTAGTGATTTATTTTTTCAAACACAACTAGCAATGAAGCCAAATATATAAGCTCTCTTAGCAGTCTCTATTGTGACTAAAAGAAAGAATTTCACACATTCCCCAAAGTAAACAAAATAGCAACAGTGGTGGTTATAAGGATTATAATTAAGTTGCAAATTAGGAAAGCTATATGGAAACAGGATGAAGCTCCTTAATCTTTAAGAACATGCAAACAAGGGATGTTCAGGAGATAATCCTTCATCACACAATCATTAAATTTTTTTCAGGAACATTATCCTATCTTTGATTCCTTATACTCATTGTTGAAGCTGAAATAGTTTCAGAAGAGCCAAAAGAGGCATTAAATTAACTACCTTTGTTACCTTTAAAACGAAGACTTAGCAATATCTGAATATATTGCTGAATATAGATCCAGACAAAATTCTGCTGCAGAGGTATTTTGTGAATATAATTGTGACAAAATTGAGTCAACAGTTCTTAATTCTTTTCATCTCATGTAGGCCACATAGCAGAATGCCATGGGGGCAGATCTACTGCCTAAGCTGCCAAGAAAAGATTCCAAAGCACCATTTCCTAGCATTCAGTGTTTATTATTTTGCCATAATTCCTAGTGAATTCCTTTGACAAGATAAGATTTATTCTGAAACAAATTTACATTCAAAGGTATGAAAAAAAAAGCTAATAGGATTAAGCCTTGCACATTTAAAAGACATGCACAATTCATAATCTCGATACAAGATGTTCCTTTTATTTTCACTCATACTATTTTCTCAGCATAGAAGACAGAACTACCTAGGAACCCTTTGGCAAAAAAAGACAAAAAAGTCCCACAAACACCTCCAAAACCACAGAACCCCAACAACCCCCCCCCCAATGAAATATATTATTTTAGCTTTCATATTATTTTCTTATTCTGATTTTACAGTTGCAAGAAAAAGTATGTGAACCCCTTGGGATTACATGGAGTTTTGCATNCTGAAGTCGCCGAATACTCTTCAAGGGCAGCCCCAGGTAGAGCATGATTGAGTCTGTTCATTTCTATAAAATTAAGGAGTTTTCATCAAATCTACTGCTAGTTGGTATTAACAGATATGTTCTGCTAGAGATCTGCCTGTTGGTCCTACATCGTAAATATTACAAATTTACACTGTACATTGTTAGATGATTCCTGTTTTTCCCCTGTAGGTCTTGTGGTTTACTTAATGATTTGAAGGGATTTAGTTGGTTTGTGCGCTATGGTGCCATGTGGTTGTAATAGGAATCCAAGTAATATTGTGGTTACTCCCACCTAATGTTTTTATTATTATTATTATTATTATTATTATTTTAGCTTGGTGTGCGATCCTCCTCAGGGATTTGTCTAAATGTATAGAAGACTTCAGACATGATGGAAAACCAGACATGCATGCAGCCTTCTTTTTGATTCTCTTCAATCTTTCAACTGAAAGATTTAAAAGGCAGCTAAACCTGTAAGTCATACAAATACGAACCTTGGAATCCTCCTTTACTCATATCCCAGGTTATGTAGAAAACATGTTAATGTAGCTACAACATTTCCTTTCCTTTCCTTTAAAGCTCCAGCTGAATACAGAAGTGAGCTGAGCCCACAGCATTATCCACTCTAGTGTGAAATGCTCAGAACATTCATGCAAAGAACAGAAAAAGGGTGTTCCTTAACCATTAAAATGGAAAACATTCCCCGTGAATAAAAGCTTATTTGGGACTATAAATTATGAATAGAGGAACTACAGAATACATATGCTTCTGATTTCACTCTTAAAGTATTAGGACTTTTAAGTAAGCCTGCAAATAATTCTTTAGCAGACTTAAAGAAACCCATCCTGAAATGGACAGACAAAAAGGAAATTGCAGAAGATTGAACGGCAATGGTGCAGTAGTTAGAATGCAATACTGCAGGCTACTTCTGCTGAATACTAGCTGCCTGCAGTTTCAATTCTCATCAGCTCAAGGTCGACTTAGCCTTCCATCCTTTCAAGGCAGGTAAAATGAGGACCAGATTGTTGGGGGCAATATGCCGATTCTGTAAAACACTTAGAGAGGGCTGTAAAGCATTGTGAAGGGGTATATAAGTCTAAGTGCTATTGCTATTGTCTTCAGTAGTAATTGGATTTGATCTTCTCAGCACTGATTAAATTATAAGTAATATGGTTTTTTTTTCTTTATATTATTATGTGGGACCACATTTTAGTACTTCTAATTAAAAGAATATTACAATACCTCTGTTAAGATTCATAGACCGGATTTTGGTGAGAATGTTTCCATATGCTGCCATATTATTTAAACATGGATAGACAAAAATGAAGGAAACTGAAGGAATCAAATTACTTAAGGAAAAATGTATTGCTTTCAACATGGAACAAAGCTTCAATATTAACAATTTACCTCTTAGTTAGGAACATTTAAGTATGAAGCAATTAAAAATAACTTACTTTTAAGAGTGAATCGACATAAATATTGTGTTGTGACATGATTTCTTTCACATCCCACTTCATATTTGCCATCTGAAGTAACATCTGTTCATAATCAATTGCTTTAGCAGCTACAATCCAGTATATAGGTTTACGTAGTTCGCTGGCTGTTGAAACTGTCTGAAACACAAAGTTTTTTCAAATTCTATTGCAGTAATTACATTAAAAACAAGAATGCATTAAGCAAATGGCACTAATTGTTAGGCATTTAAAGGTGTTTCTTCACAAAATCATTAACACACTCAAAATTACAAAAATAAAATAAAATAAAATGTATTCAGAATCCTGACCTGTGAGTAGAACTGTTGAAGAAAAGGCTTCTTGGCTGGAGGCATTACAGTATCAAGATGAGACTGGAGAAACTCAAATTGTTCAGCCAAAAATACTCTAAAAAAACAAAACAGGGATGGGGTGAGGTTTTTGTTATTGGGATTTATTATTTGATAGCCTTTTTTAAAACATTTGCAAGTCACATCAAATCACCTATGTGTGAGTTTGGTAGCTATATAAATATATTTAATTAATTACTACAGAAAAGTTACTAAGATCAAAATCGGTTTTGCCCCTGACACTTAATAGGCCTATTTAGAATGGATGCCTATCAATATTGTATCTGCAGTTACATACTTATTCAAAGCATTTATATGGCAGCCCACCTAAAGTAACTCTGGGTGGTTTACAAAAACCATAACATCAATAAGGAAAACAATCATACAATCAATAAAGCTAAAAACAAAAACCCTGTGCTCTAGTCATTCTACTTGGGATGACCCCACAGCAGATTCTGCTACTCGCCTTCCATGTCTTCCAATCCCAGCACCTCAGTAAAAAAAAAACCTACATCTTAACACTCTTTGAAAGGATAAAAAGCTGGGATCACTGGCAGAAGGGCGATTTACCAAGTAGGAGTTTCCATGAAAAAAAGCAGTTTTTTTAGGTCCACTAGATGGCAAAACTTCAGAGAGGGGACCAGAAGCATGCTCATCCTATCTGATCTAGTGGAACAAGGGTGTCAAATTGGATTTCTTCAAGCGTTGGATCAGCATTGTACTTCTCTTCTGCAGGCTGGGGGAGGGGCATGCCTCCTGCAGCACCCTGCCGGCCAAAATGGGACATGGGTGGGCTCTAGGCACTGTCCCCGCACCTCATTTTTGGCTTTGATGGCCTCCTGCAGCACTTTGCCAGCCAAAATGGGGCACTGCCCCCCCCATGCCCCATTTTGGCCACCAGAGTGCTACAAGAGACCATCCATGCTGAAAATGGGGCACCTTGTTTTGGCTGCCAGAGGTACTGTGGGCTGGTCCTTACTATTTCCAGCCCAGATTTAAGCACTAGTGGCCCAAATTTAAGATTTGAGTTTGATACCCCTGTAGTAGAACAAATGGATATTCTTAGAGAAAGGCAATAACCAGCACCTTGAAGTGCACCCAGTAGACAACCAGGAGCTAGTGAACCTTGCATAACAAAGATTTAATATGGACAAATTTATGGATGCCCAATACTATATGTGCCATTGTGCTCTGGACCATTTGTAACTTTTAAATAGTCTTGAAGGGCAATGCTTTGCCTTTGTGAGATATAAGGAGGAATTAATCAAATTAAAAAAACAAGTGGCTGTATGCTAACATTCTCCGTCTCTGGTACCTTTCAGATATAGGACATTTTTCTGAAGTGGGCCAGGAAAATGTTGGCAAACTTTACTTTGTCCTGCTGCAGTTTTATTTATTAATAGATGCCTAAGTTAATTTATAATATATCTTGCAATTGATTTTAAGAAGTAGAAAATAACTTTTGAGGATTCTTAACGTACAAGGATTCTGTGGCTACCACTCTCTCTGCCAAACCATAAAGACTGTTGCTGGATGTCAAGACTACAAGATGACTTAAATGTGGCATTGGAACTTTTTCCTTTCTTTCTTCAACAGCAGTCAGAGTTCCAGCCACATCAGAGGACACATCCTACAAAAGAAGTAGGGTAGAAAAGGATGGGAAAGAAATTACATTGATTGGAAAAATAATCAAATGAACTTAATTAAGTCAGATAATATGAAGATAATCATCAATACTCTTCAGTAGTCCTGAGCTAGCATAATTAATAATAAACTCTGCATTTCAAGGGCATAAGTTAGCATATTTACTTCTTCTGACAGAAACTTTACATTACATACAGCATCTTTAGCTCTGAACACTCTTTTATGAATAACAATGATATCTTCTAACCCATGATTCTGATGCATTTTATGAGCATAGTGTATATAAAGTTTGTTTCACTGAGTAAAACATTATTATTTCCTCTGAGGCCATAATTTTATAGTTTTTCAATGAGGGTCACAAGAACCGGATTAGAATTTATACACCACAATCCTTGGGAACTCCTTTATTGCCCTAAAAATAAATGCACTTTTAGGAATGAATCAATTCCTATGCTCAAATTAGGATTGCAGAAAGAAAAACTCAAGGAAAAATCAATAGTGATTTCTCATAAAATATTCTAGATAACTGAAAATATAACCTACACTATATGCAATGTAGGAAGATTCTGAGAATCATTAGCTATATTGACAATATAGATAATTAAATGGAAATACAGTTCATATTCAGATCTGAGTAAGGCTGCAACAGGAAACTTGAGAGTTATGATGCACTCCCTTTCACTAAACATGTTTAAGTGGAGGCTAGACAGACATCTACAGGAGATATTTAAGTTTAAAACAAGGGCTGTTTTAAACAAGGCACCCTGGAAGGCCAAATTATTGGTTGGGTAATTCCTCATTAATGGCATTTAGCATTATTTGAACACACAGACATGCAGTAAATAAGCCATTATAAACTTTAATTCAAAGCACGTAGCAACTCAGAGGTAACACGGTAGTTCAGAAGTACTTTCATCCTTTCATCAATATTGAAATACTCTCCTATGTGCTTGTTTTGTTACTGTTTGTTTTATAATTTCACTGAAAGAGGCAAACATGTTCAGTTATTTGCAGAGGACAATAATATTTGAACCAGCACCAATTGTCTTCAGGGAAACCATCACAGGCATAAATATCACTAGTTTGTACTACAACAAAACCACTCCATACTGTGTGAGTCATAATCAGTCAAGAATCCTCATGTGACCAATCAAAGAGGGTGAAGCCACAAAATTCGGAAGAAGAAAATTAAGAAATTTGCTATCGGGGCACAAAAGAAGAGAAAGGAAGTATCTGCCAAGAAAAGAATCACATCTCAAACAATGTAGGGTTTTTTGATCCAATATGGTAGGCCTCAGAAAGTCCTATTTTTGATCCAAATATCTGAGCAGAAGGATATGTCCTGCAATCCTAGCTATGATGTTGCAAGTAGACATGAGGGCAAGATACAAATGAAAAAAGAAGTAAATAAAAAGTTCTTGGATTCCCATCAGCATATTGCTTCAAACACTCTGGGTCCTCATTTCAATCTATTGATGAAAAAGCCTTGTTTAAGACATCAAAAAGCAGGTAGACACACACAAAAAGTCTTAAAAGGAACCAATTGTTTCCTGGTCTCAATTAATTCCTGTACAAGAAAGAGTGAAACTTCTTTCTTGCATTTTCTTCTTACTGCTTGGGGGAGGGGGGATATTTTTGAGCAATTGCCAGACAGTACACATTCATAAAGACATGTATCAGTTCTCAACAGATTTTGCACATTAGTGTTTCCTATATTTAGATTCCTATGTAGGAGGAAGACATCATGGACAGTTCTATTAAAACATGCAATCTTTACTACTGGACACACAAATGGACTTGTTGAACAGCTTATTCTTATGCATGAAAACTGGTTAAATTCCTTGGGCCACTTCTCTTAGCCCAATCTACCTAAAAGGATTGTTGTTGTAGAGAAAATAGGAGGAAGAAGTATTATGTATGTTGGATTTCTTAAATAATAAAGCAGGATAAAATTTAATAAAATAAATAAGTAAATAAATTACTCCCATTCTACTCCTATTCCTTAATCTAGAAAAACCTGCCCCAACAACTTACTGGGCTCACCAAGACAGAGATTATTGTCCTAGTTTTCCATATGGAAAAATTAAGCCATTTCACAATATTTCCATTTCTGGAGAGAAAAAAATTGTCTTCAAAGGCAAGCAACACAAAGGAATTAATATATAATTTGGCCATCCATTTCTGTAACAATTTAAATTATATAACAGGTCATTCCCTTGGTTTTTGCAGAAAGAAGTAAAAGTATTTTTCCTTCTCTAAATCTTTCTGTCAAATATGAAAAGAAGGCAACCCATTACCTACAAAATCCTAATTATATTCAGTCAAGATATATTTTCAATTTCAACATTTTGTAAAAAATACCTTCTCTTCTCCATACATACTGAACAAGACATGATAGGGCTGATCAAATACACTGGACCATAACGATACCTTTTCAGATCCAGAAAAACAGTTAAAAACCCAAGAGTTGATTTAATTTTCTACCTTAGCCACCTATTTGTGTGCTTGTTATCCTATTATTGTTGAGAAGTAAATGCTGAACCTTTCCGCTGCACACATATGATTTTCATGTTTGTTTTAATTAATTCTAAAGCACTAATTTTAAAGTAATATCAAACTCTTAAATCATAACTGAAAAGGGGGGAAATTTGCTGTTTGATGCAAGTGATTACTTTTTTTTTTTTGCTTCTTACACAACCACTTAAGAACTTGCTCTATTTAAAGCAAAATTACCCACATTAAACTTAATAGAACCATTCAAAGTCAGCACGGTGCAGGAAGTCATCTAAAATACAGTTGGTCAAAAAGGTAACAGCTAGACGTCATTACCAAAGAAAGATTTCTCAGAAGTTAAGGAATAGAAGGGATAAAGAAGCTTGAAGTCTTAGACCTTTCATATAAACAAATAATCTTTAAAAGCCTGAAAAGTAGTTGGGGCTATTTTCTGCTTATTAAACCTGCTACAGTACACAGATTAGAAACTAAAAACTCATATAAACCCTAGCTGATCATTTATTAAACCTTTTAACAACTTTGGGTGACATTTTTGGATTGGCTTTGATTTTTATTTTTTTTTAGATATTAGTTACATAAAAGAGATGTACTTCTTGTATAGGGTTGCTCAGGCCAAAGTATGGCTGAATACCAAAATTACCTCTACACAATCTTCTTGTAGAATATAACACAATATTTTTCAAATAATAAAAAGTTATAGATTTTAAGCATGATTATGTTACACATACCACAATTACTTGATTCAGTTTTAGTAGGTGAAAGCTTAAATCGGTCTCTGGGCAACCATGATTTGTGTTTATCAATCCATCTATAGGGGTAAGTAACTTGTTCTGCAAGGATGAGAGAGATACCCTGCCTACCATGACACTACTTCTATGTTCCCTTATAAACTATGACTCAAAAGTCCTTTATGCTCAACTAGTCCAGTACGTGATTACAATCAAAGAACTTTTCTGAACTCCTAAAGAAAACTGTTCTCCAATGACATCAGTCCTAGTAATCATCATTCATTTTACTTCTCTGTAAATACTGTGTGTTTCCCACCCAGAAAAAGGAGCATGGGTGAGATCATCTGCTTTCATTCAATGTCTGCTAATTCAGCAGATTCTTAAGGGAAGTTAAGAATCTATGGCTATAATAGCATAGACTTTCCTTCCCAGTAGAGGTATAACTGTGCAGATATATAGCTGCAAATTAAAGGTGATTTACGGAATAGTTTCTCACTAATGCAAGTTTATTTAAAGCTTTCTCTACTTTTTACCCTTCAGAGGTTTTGAAATATAAATTAAAGAAATCCTAGCCACACTGGCAAAATTACGTTTGGCTGTAAATTCTGGAAGTTCTCTAGGACCTGAGTCCATACTGAACACATGTAGACTCAAAACAATATAAGATTCGTTTATAAAGGTTAGTATACTAACGTTAAAATAAAACATTTCTACTAGATTTTTTTAAAATATTCAAATTCCTACTTAGTATGAATAATTTTCTCCTGTAAATATAAATGATGTAAGTCCATATTAGTAAGCACAAATTAAATGACAACAACAAGATTTTACATCACATGTTTCAAAGCCAAAGCCAACCTTTTTTTCTCTTGGGAAGACTACTTTTCTCTCTTAGCTAGTCCAATTAACTCCTTTCATTTTTGTATAGGCTTAGAAATAAACTGTGCATGAGCAGAATGACTTTATGTGTATTTAGCACAAACACACTCTGGAAATATCTTATGAAGATTATCATTTAGATGGTTTTAAAAAAAGAAGAGAATATAAAGAATACAAACTTAAGCAGCTTCTGAATGAAACACTTACCAGTTTAAAACCTTAAACTTTCTTTTAGGAAAGAAAAAAAATTGCCTAAGGAAAGCAAATACAGATTTAGAAAGAATTCTACTTCGTCTTCCCTGAAAGTATTTGTGCAGCTAACCTGAGGAAAAGATTGTGATGGTGAACATACCGTATTTCCCTGAAAATTTGACTGGTCCTGAAACTAACGCCTTGCCACATTTTTTGCATGGGCTAAAATATAAGCCCACCCTCAAAAATAAGCCTCCTGGACAACCCCCCCTCCAGCCAGGCAGAACACCGCTCACCGACTTAGCAGTATCCCGAAGGCGCCAAACCACAGGAGCCGGGGGAAAGGTGCTCATGTTGCTTGGCACCTTCAGGATACTGCTAGGTTGGGGAATGGCATTCTGCCTGGCCAGAAGGGGGGTGTTGCTGGACAGCTGCTCCCTTGCGAACTGGCTCCCAAAGAGTCGGGCACAGTCTCAGGGGTGAAGCAGCCATGAGGAGACCACACTCATGAGCAACCGCCCGGCAAACCCCCTCTCCAGCCGGGCAGAGTGCCATTCACTGACCTAGGGGGTATCCCTAAGGCACCAAGGCAGGTGGCACTTTGCCTGCTCCCCAGTTCCCATGGCTTAGCACATTGGGATACCCTCTAGGTCAGTGCATGGAGCTCTGCCCGACTGGAGAGGGGGTCTTCCTTCAGAGGATTCTCTGTCCAGCAGCCATCCCACAACCATAGAGCACATTCCTAGAGTGGCTGCTGCTGGAAGATTCGGCAGCTGGGTTTTGGAGTTTGGAAGCCACAGAAGAAGTTATGCTCAGAGCGCAGCAGGGGCATAACAGGCGCTTGGGCAACTCCCCTCTCCAGCTGGGCAGAGCTGATCCATGGGGTATCCTGAATGTGCCAAGCCATGGTAGCTGGGGAGCGGGCAAAGCGCCAAGTACTTTGGCGCCTTAGGGATAGCCCCTAGGTCAGTGAATGGCACCAGGCAGTTGCTCGTGAGCATGGTCACCTCTTGGCTGCTTCGCCCCTGAGGCTGTGCCCGATTCTTCGGGAGTCAGTTAGCAAGGGAGCAGCTGACCGGCAACCTCAAAACAACAAGCCCTCTTCCTATAATAAGCCCAAGGCCATATTTCGTGGGGCAAAAGACAATAAGACCCCTGTCTTATTTTGGGGAAAACATGGTATATGTTTTCATGCCATTTTTGGTGATACCCCAAGGCTTCTAGACCCTCTGGGTCATGCGTCAGTGAACTCTAGAGCCTCCAAAAAGCATGTAAGAATGGGGCATGTTTTCCCACTCTTTTTGGATACTGCAAAGACATTCTCGAAAAATTCCAGGCCAGAGCTGCTTAGATAGGCATTTTCAAAAATATTTACAATTTTACATTGTAAATATAAAGTATTTATTTATTGATTAATATATTTAAATGATTTAATATATTTTATTACCATTTGTTATGAATTGTTTTTCATGTGTGTTTGGGTGAGTGTGGGTGGGTGGGGAGATGGCAGGTACATTGTAGTGTATTTTCAGCCAAGAACATGCACTACAGCACAGGATCTTCATTACAAGTTTATTTTGTACATGACATAAAAATATGGAGAAAGGATTAATCCTCAAAATTGTTCTGTTAGAAACAAAATATATCTTAAATCCCCATATTTTCTTTGAGAATACATGAATCTTTTCTTTGAGAATACATGAATCTTCCCATTTTAATCCTCTTGCAAAAATTCTAGCAAAATCCTGTGACTTACCAGATCAATCAAGCTTTCCTGGATTCTATTCAATGTGGTGCGAAGCCTACTGCTGCTAAGTCCAAGTCCTGTTGATTCAAACTAGAAATGAGAGGGAATTTTCAGTAATAACCTTGGGTTAAAGATAAATAAATGCAAGACAATTTCCAATTTGTTCATACCTACTGCCACTGACATGTTCTTCATAACCAATGCCCTAACCCCAATGAAATTGCTGAAACATGAAATTAATTAATTCATCAATCCTATCCATAAATATTAAAGATGAATTAATCTCTGTACTATAAAATAGCTACATACAATTAATATTGTCATAAGAATTATCTACTGATTTGGAAGATAGTAATCAATATTGTTTATATTTCTTCAATATGATTATACTTTGAGGCATAGAAAAACCCAAGTGAATGCAAATCAGATCGAAGAATTACTACTCAGCAACATCTCTTGTCATACTCTCCGATCACCAACTTTTATAATGCAGATTTTTAAGTTTCCAAGAAAAGTGTCAATTAACAACAGGATCATGGAAGAATTAAGCTGATTTTGATTCATTGGTATGGACCGTACTTAGCTACTGCCTTGTTTAGACCCCTAAACTATCTAGACCCCTTCCAGTCAGGCTTCAGGCCCGGTTACAGCACAGAAACCGCTTTGGTCGCATTG